CCCCCCCCCCCCCCCCCCACAGACTCGGTGTAAAGGGCGGCCGGCGCGGGGCGGCGGCCCGGCGGTTCTGCGCGGTGGTCGCTGCCCCCTTGCGCAGCTCCTTCCCCTTGCTCCGGCTCCACCCCTGCGGGAGCTCAAACCTACTGAGCGGGACTTGGGTCGTTTTTCCGAACTTTGCTGCAGAACGGTTCTGTTCTACGCTTCGTTTTGAAGCTATTTGGTGATCTTCTAATTATTTCAAGCGTAGTCTAAAAGATCGCGCTACAAACCAGGGCCCATGGCTCCGGCTGGGCAGGAGCGAGGGGTTGTAACACGTAATAGACTCCAGATATGTGGGACAGAGGCTGTATTTTCTCACAAACGTGTTTAAAGGAATAATGGCTTTGGTGCCCATCCCAAACGTCTAGCAGAGCCAGCCGTGGCATTGATGCCAGTCATTTGCTATTGCAGTCTTATAGTGGAAATGAACTTCTTTTAACTAAAAAAAAAAAGTGTTTTTTGCTCTCAGGCATTATTTTATTATGTTTGTGCAAAATCGATGATTCCTGATGGGACTTCTGCAGTCCTGCTTCAGTAATAAAATGACACTGTGCTTTTCTTAACTATTTAGTGTAAGCTTTTGGCTTTCTTAGTTTATATATATATATTTATACACACACACGCATGCATATATATTCATACAGATTTTTATATAGAAACCATATGTATTTATCTCCATGCACACACATACATATTCTTTTTTAACTATTTAAACCTATATGTTTATTGTTAAGACTCAGTCAGCTATCTTGGCTTCAGGTTTTTTTAGCAATGTTACCAGTTTTCACACAGTACACCTACTTCCATTTAATCCTTATTCTTCTTATGGATTTCTTACCAAAAAACCCCTCTTTTTCTTTCTTCATTTCCTGTTCTCTTTTTATTAATAAATGGTGTAAGAACCAGGCATCTTGTAACTATTAGCTGAGAGGTAGGCAAGGCATAAAAGTCTGTCTCGGGTGAATTTTCAGCTAAAAACGGATCTGTGAGAAATACATCAATGCTTTTATGAATAGCATGCTCATCTTGATAATATGTTTTAAGTTAGAATAATTTCACTCCATGCTTCATTCTTTTTATATAAATAATTTCTTTGACCTCTGTCTTCAGATTGTTCCTCCACGCCCTTCTCATTGTATTTCTTTAAAAGAGTGAGTATTTGCATCAAACTGCAGTGTCTAAAAAACAAACCAGAAAAACCCCAAAACCCAGGAGAATCGAAGAGCTGCTATAAGATCCATTCAGCCCTTAGCCTGTCTTCAGTAGGGTCCAAAAGTAAACAGCTAGGGAAGAGCATAAGGGCATATATTAATACATCCTCCAGAAATATCCTTGGGCACAAAACTGTTTGTAGCTCGTGGTTTTCTTGAGCCAAAGGTGTTTTTGTATTTAAAAGCCCTTACTGGATTTCTCTTTTCCGTAAAATTGTCATTTTAGCCTCTGTAAACTTCCAGCATTCGCAGCAGGCTGCGACAGGGAGGTCTGTAGCTTAACAGCAGGTTATGTAGAGAACTCTGTTCTGTTTTGAATTTCCCACTGATACCTCCGTTTGATGTGTCCTAGGTTTTTTCATTGGAATAGAAAGCGAACAGTCGACCTTGATGCACTCTGTTCCACTCATAATTGCGTGGGCATCCGTCCTATCCGGGCTGAGAAGCCTTAGCCTGTTCTGTTGCTTCTCCGGCAGAAGCTATTCCATAGCTTTGTTGCTCCTTGTCACACGCTTTTCAACCTTTTCTGTTTCTGCTACCTCCCTTTAAAGACTCCCTTTAAAGTAATGCTGTTCGAGATGCAGGACGGCCGTGGATTTCTGCCTTCTTTCTTCGGACTCCCCACTGCTTGTGGGGAGAGGGATTGAACCCTGCTAGGGATTTTTCTCTTGGTTCCATAGAACTGCGTTTTAAAACCTCAAGATCCTGTTCCGGGGTGGTGAGGTTCGGCTCAGAGTCTGTCCGTTCATATGTGAAATCAGGATGAATTTTTCTCCCCAAAGTCCACTGCTTTACTTCATTTTTTTTCCGTTTTACTACCCAACCACTCAGCTTCTGAAAGTCCATTTGAAATTCTTCAGTAAGCCCTTGTCTTTAGTACTCCAAATAATTCACTCATTAGCAAGTGCTGTGCCCCTCTTTACTTGCTTCCTTTTCCAGGTTGTTCAACCTGTTCATAACCGATTCTGAACTCTTTTTGTTTTTAACCTTCGGTCGGTTCTAGTATGTTGTTAAATGTATTCTGACTTCCTGCTTATCTGCTTTCTGTTGCTGGTGCTGCATTTTGCCAGAAAATAAAGTATAAGTATTATTCTGTTAATGCTAACACATCTGATAATACAGATGGATGAATAGTTCTTTTTGTCCAGGATAGCATTGTTTCACAGTGGTTTGCAAGAATGAGTGGTAATCAACGTGAAATTATTCTTTGACTTACCGGTTAAGCAGTTTTTCTCCTTCAAAGTTGTTGCAGCCCCTTTCGCTTGTTAGAAGCACCAAATTATGGGAAACAAAGGAACATGCTTGTATAATTCAGGTAGTCTATCAACAAAATTCTTACTTTTCTTTAAGATGGCCTGGTTGTCTCTGGAAAAGTGGGAAGCAACAAACTGGACACGGCAGTTGCTGAGTCAGAGGCGGAAACCAAAGAAGGAGCTTCCACAAGAGAATCTGATAGTAACATTTTGGATGTATCGTCTGATTTTCCCAGAGGTTTGCTAATAAACTATAGTAATCTCTGTGTTACGTTCTTGGAGGAGGGAGAAGAAAAGGTGAAAACAGTGGGAAAGAAATGTGAAGGGAATGTGTGAAATCTAATTTTCAGTATAGCTGATTCCATAGATACTTTTTTCCTGGAAGTCTGAATAAAATATTTTCCTTAGATGTTAGAAATGCCTCTTTAAAATGAGGCACCGTTTTCCCCTTGCTAAACATCCTACAAATCACTTTGGAACTTCCCCCAAATACAGTGGCAGAAAAGAAATTATGTTGGATGAGGTATGACATGTATCAAGTCCTGATGTTAAAAGCACTACTCCTGTGAATCTTTAAATGTAGATAAGTACTTGTGAACAGAGAAAGTCTATTGTAACCAAGTGCAGACATTGGGAGTTAGGAATTCCTTTTAGTGCTGGCTTTAAAACTTGCTGCTGTTATCTTGAACACAGTGATATCTTAATTTCACGTGGGAAAATATGAAGATTACTGCTTAAAAAAAAGTTTAAGGTTTAAAGTCACTACAGAGCCAATATTGCTATAAAACGGGCTGTTCTATGTGCCGAAACCAATAAAAGAGATTTGCTGGGTAAGCTAGTTCTCTCGTTTCCTAGCAAATTCTACGCTGTTCTCACAGACTGATAAGTTGAAAAATTGGAAGGTAATTCTGAGGTCATTAATAAACGCTTTGCCAAGAAAAAAAGTAGAATTGAATGGGTCCTGGCTATGCGCTGAATAATTGGTACTTATAATTGCTCCCGTTCTAGCTGCTATTTTAGTTTTACCAGATAGCTCACAGGATGCTTTTATACTGTTTTGTTTATAATTTGCATTAAATAAGAATGCCGTGCAGTCACATCAGGAGTAAATGGCATGCAACTTGCTCTTTCCAGCTTTTTTTTTCAAGTGCAGATCGTTGCAATCTGAAAAATTGGATGTATATCAGAATTAAAAAGCAAATAGAAATATCTGGACCTTGTTAAGGAACTTAACTTTGTAAGTCATTCCTTCTACCAGATTCGTGTTGGAAGTTAAAGGATATAACTGGTGCTAGTATTAGATTTGAAATGATTGATAGCAGTGAGCTAAAAATACCTTTTTAACTAAGTAAGTTTAACTTGTAACTGTCTCTGATTTTTAGAGAAACATATTTCAATTCAAAGACAACTTGCCGATCTAGAGAAACTAGCTGATCTGAATGAAGGTGAGTTTACCTTGGCAGTATCCCAGAACACAGATCTTCATGTTACAGGTATTTACATTCTTTCTTGGCTTTTATTTTTGAAATACTACGTTTTTTTCATTTCTGATGCTTACTAGGGGTTTCGTAAAGAATAGCTTTATGATTTTGTTCCCTCGTTTATCACCTGTTTTCCTTTACTCGGTGAAGTCAAGGCCTTAATGATTCCTCCTCTTTTTCCTCTGCGTTATTGCGTTTCTAATGTGCCCGTGTGCATGGATCAACAAAATGTTGATTCTAGCTATACGTCAACAGTTTAATCTCATTTTTATTTTGCTTCCAGTGTCATGATAACAGGGAAGCTAATTGTTGTCTTCACTGAGAATTACATACATTTTTGTTCTAATCTCAATTTAAACAGAAACGTCCTCTGTTTTGGATGTTTTATTTTCCTTGTTGTCTGTATTCATTGTTTCTGACACAGATAGTGGAGGATTGTTTTAAGAGTGCAGAGTGTTCTCTTTACCAGAGTAAAACCTCAACAGAGGTTTCTGTGTTCCATGTTCAAGGAGGAGATGGGTCATAAATACCTATTAGGTGTGTGTGTGGGGGGGTGTTTTCTGGGGGTCTTTTGTTCATTTTTGTTTCTAAACAATTTCATCTGCTCTTGAACTGAGTTACATGTAAAGCCATGGTGGTGACAGGAAGCTCATGATCCCTTTACCTGTTCTGAACTGTCTGGTTCTTTTTGTCGTTCTGTCACGAACGTGGCATTCTTCTGTGTTCTTGGACTGACTTGTGTCTATTACCATCATCTTGTGTGTTTGATACTCAGTGAATCATATAGCAATAATAGTCTGATCAACATAAGAGAGTACTGATGATTTGGTGAGCTGTAGGCTGCATCTCTGCTGGCTTCAGTGGTAAGGGACTCTGCATGGACAAGTAGTAATCCACCTGTAGAGTGGTCACAATAGGGTCAGGAACTTTTACTCTTGTGCAAGTGTAAGATGCGCGATTATTATATAAATAATCATAGATAGTTTTGTCTTCTTTCTTAGATATATTGAGATAGTGGTTGAAAGCTTTACATTTGCATCATGTGACTATTATGAATCTGGAAATAAAATACTGCTTTTGTTGTGTTGGAGGCTGCCCATATTATGTGGCATGTTTCAGTGCTCATCTTGTGCGATTCAAACACATGTGAGCCTTTCTGCTCAGTTCTACCCGAGAGATTGTTTGGCATCCAGCAGCAGATGTATGCCTGCCTGATACAAGATTCCTATGCACAGCTGTACAACATGTGTCTCCTGGGGTCTAGGTTTTATTTAGGATAATACTTGATACGCTTCAGATACCTTTGATGCAAAAAAATCTTGCCCTTTTTTGCCTTTTTTTTTTTTTTTTAACTTCTGTGGAAAGATTTCCAAGAAGAAAGGATACTTTTAACAGAGCATACTTCTCCCCCTCCCCATTTTAAAAAGATACTAGGTGCTTGCTTTATCTAGAAGTTTGTTTGGAGATTGAGGAGGAGGAAGAACAGACTTTTTCTAACATTTTCAGTTTTTTGTTTTTTGTTTTTAAAGTAAGAGTCTTTTGTGTATTCCATGGAGTAGTAAGCACAGACAATCCATTTACTTCAACCTTGTGGACGCCCGTAATAAAATATAGTTCGGGGAATTCATCTTTAACACCCGCTAGCGTTACCGTTGTGTGTTACCTTTGTATATTACTTCTCAAAATACGCATTTAACCGTAGTTAATAACAAATTCACATAGCAGCATGTATTTCTCTTAACATGCCTAACTGCATCTTGTATGTTTCTCATATTTTTGGGGTTTTTTCAGCTGAAAAGAAGCCCTGTCCATTGTGTCCTGAGGAGAAATTCAAAGCTTGCTATCATCATAAACTTCATCGCCACCTTCAGAATTTGCACTGGAAAATTTCTGTTGAATTTGAAGGTAAAGGCAATCATATTTGAATAGTAAGTACAACATGAAATTGTGGAACGTAGGGCATTGTTCTATGTTTCGTCTTTAAAATTCCTGTTGACATAAGTGTGAGTTTCGTGCATCTTGACACCAGCTCTGAACTAGAACTATATTTTGGCAAAATGAATGTTGGCCTTGGATGTAAAGTATGAATGTAAAATAACTGTATTTTTCTGAATGCCAAAATAGTTCCTGTTGAGCATTTTCTCATTTAAAAAAAAAAAAAGTTTCTGGATATGTCATGAAAATGATTATAAAATTAATTTTTGTCATATAAATATTTTGGATAAAAATTCTAGTTGTATTATTCAGAGTGTTATTATTTTTCTGGAGATAATTACTTCCAGTATTTATTTAATATCAGTATTTTGTCTTTCATGTAAGATCGGTTTGTAAGATGCATTTAAAGTCCTTGCATTAAAATAAGGAAGAAAATGAGCAGTATATGTTTTAAATGAACTGAGTATATGGATTTATAGGAAATAAAATGATTAACCAGAAGATGGGCAATATCAAAGTTAAATTAAAACATCATCTGCTAGAGTTTTGGTTTTGCATGTATTAAGAGGTGTGGGGGTTTGGGTGGGGTTCTCCCCCTTCCCTGCCACTTTACACTGTAGGGGAAAAAAACCCACAGAAATCTTCACACAAGTCGAGTAAAAATACTTCGGTAAAGTGTTCATCGGTGCTTACAACCTACTTTCAAAAGCTGTATAGCGTATGTGACCTGAGGACTCACCGGAACCGTGCAGCGTGTAGGAAGCTAGCAGACTTGCGGAAACGTGACACGGTCCGGTCCTCTTAAGGCTTTTGAAAAGTCTTTCTTGTCTTTCTCTCATACGTGGATTAACAGGTATTGTGTAAATGTTTGAAGTACTAGCCGTTATGCAGTACGCTTCATTTTAGTGCTGAATCGCCTGTAAATTGATTTTTGCAGAGTTCAAATATTCTTAATCTGTACTTAGCTGATAAAATTTCTCTATGCAAAGAGGATGGATGTATCGAAACAATGGTAACGTTTCCTGTCTGATGACAATACTTGAGAGTCCTTATTGAGACCTTGCTATAAAAGTAATGAACGAAAATCCTAAATCAAAGCATTTGTGGTACAGGACATATGCATGCTGTTTACTTAGTGTACTGTGACGTGACAACAACTAGTTTGTTTTCCAGGGTACAGAATGTGCATCTGTCACTTACCTTGTCGTCTAGTAAAGCCAAACCTCGTTGGAGACCAGGTAAAAATGCTGAATCACAGAAATATTTGTTACCCCACAACATAGGTGAAAGAGGTGATTGGGAGAACTGCTACTTCAGTCCCAAAATATGGCTTGCTATCCAGTGTGGGATACCAAACGCTTATTGGTCCAGAATATAAGTATTCGATATAACCGTGTGACAGGTAGTATATCTGTATCTTACTCTTGTGGCTATCTGCTGAGATCGTGTAAACCAGGATCGGTTTGGAGTAAACAGCAATGTTATGTGGAAGAGATTGAGGGACATTGGGAAATGGATGGTTCTCAGTTTCTTCCCTGCATGCTGAATGTGTGAAGTATTGGCAGGCAGTTGAATCGGTAGTGGTGACAGTGAATCAGTGCCAAGATAGCGGTGCTGTGCTGGTTCCGTGGATATGTGAGTGCTTACAGTCTCTTTGGCGGTAGATTCAGAAATGTATGTACGCACAGACAGACGATTTCTTAAAATCAGTCTATATTCAGCTACAGTTTTACTTTAATATAGTCTAAAACTACACTTACTGTATTCTACAGACATTTTCAAAGATGGGAGCCCATTACCATTGTATTATCTGTTCAGCAACTATCACACGAAGAACTGACATGATAGGGCATATTAATCGTCATGTGAATAAAGGAGAAACTGAATCAAGGTTTATTACAGGTAGGTTCTTACTTCTATTAAACTTTGAATATTTTGATACTACACAGTGCATGGGATGACTACGATATGTGGGCAAGGGACACGAGATAAATAGTTAGATTTACTAATGAAAAATCTGCCCGTAACTCTTCAGGATTTTTTTTTTCAAAGATGTAAGACTCTTGTGATTTACCAGTTATTCCGTTCTTATTGATAAATAATACTATTTCACAGTTAGCTTATTTTTGAAAATGGAACTTTCTGTCTTTCCAAAAGAATGGAGAGCATGGTGTCCATAAAACAAAGCCTGTACAGAGCATTTCATGTCTCTGTATATTTGGCTTTGTCTGTCCTTAAATCAGTCTTAAGTAAATCTATGTACAGTACGTAAATCCTTTGCTCTTTTTGTGCAAGCTGCATCAGCATGGATTCATAAAGCAAGATGGGGTTTTTTTGTCCTGAAGAATCACAAATATGTCAGTTGTTCTTAGGTAAATTATAATCCTTTCGGAGATTCTCCAAAATTAGACTTTTGTTTTTAGATGTTGATGAGCTAGATGGGAAGGCCAAATCTTAAAAATTAATTTCCTTTATTTGCCAAGTTGCTTAAACCTTATTCTTCATTGAAAATATGTGAGTTTGCTGCTCAGCTTGTCTCTTACTCTGTCCATTCTCTGTGGCTGTCAAATAAAAAGCGTGTTACTAATTAGCTGGTGAGTAAGATTTGAGGCTTTATGCTACAGCATGAACTGCTCACTGTCAGAAAATTAATCAGATGTTTCTCTCTGCCTCTGTGGAGATGTATAGGTTTATTGTTCTAGTTACAATATAACAGAGATGAGACTGGGAAGTTATGAGAGCTGTGCTTCATTCTTAAATGCTCTTGTCAGTCTGCGGCAGTGTAGGAATAATAGCTTGGTGTCTGTGGATCAGTTTGTATGTCTAAGAAGCAATAGTAGTATATGTTTCCATACCTTCTAACTTAAACATTTCAGGTAGAAAGTACAATGCCTGTTGTGAAGTATTTTAATCTGTATCGCTTTGCCTTCTGAACCGTGTTAGTACGGGATGGCTTATTTGTCACTTTTTAAATAAAGCACTTTCATAGCTCCTCTTGCAGAGGAGGGGGAGTTCACAGATCACATACTTAATACTTCAGAGGCGCTTGAGCAAAACTTGGTGCGTGAACATGGGGCGAATGTTAGAGCTGTGCACTGAGATAGAGATACGCTGTCTGTATGTTTGAAAGCAGCAAAGAGCAGGCAGGCTGTGCAGTGAAGGGTAGCTGGCGGAGAGCTGACAAAACTTTCCTGGTCATTCTTGTGTGAATTTTGCTACTGTTAGACTGGGCATAAATTGCCTGGAGAAATGACAGCACGTGTTTACAGCCAGCAACTCAAAAAAGCTTGATTTGCTCTATTTTTATTTAATACAAAGCCTACGTGCTTAAATTGTCGCTATGTTTGAGCTAGCTGTACGCATTTCATGAAGCCGTTTGATAACTTTCGGATATTGAATCAAGGTTTTTGAGGGATCTTTGCAGTTTATTGAATTACGTTCAGACCTATGTTAATAGGTTTTTAATTAATTAGCGAGGTATTGTGTGTAAACATGCAGAACAAATATTTGTCTTTGTTTAGATTCTATCACATGTTGTACATGATTAAGGACCAGAGTGTTCCTTTAGTACCCTTCATCTAAAAGAACAGTACTTTGTGCAAGGAGACGGAATACTGGGTTCCTTTTCCTCAGATAGAAATGGCTTCTCAAATGCTGGAGTGACCTGAGCCTCCCTGGGAATTATTGATTTATCAAAAGGTGTTTGGGGTAAGCCTGAGGCTCAGGTGCTTCTTTTTTTAAATTTGGGTGGCTAAGAGAGCCCAACTGAGAAAGAAATTTGGTGCTTTATGGAAGAAAATAGTGGTAGAACTTGATCTCCATCCACCACGTATGTACAGAAGATAATTTGTTGTCGTCTTTTTTTTCTCATATTGATTGGTTTGTGCATGCTGGTTGAATTACTGTATAATGCTTGTGGAACCAGAGCTCTTGTTATATGGAGCAAGTTCTCACTTTCATTTGTCAAATGTGCTAATATTAATTTAAATTCTCACTAAATAGTTTCTTCCCCCACGATTACTTTCTTTTAGCTCCTGCTCCCAAGTCTTCTCATGAGGTGCTGAAAGAGTCAGACGCAGATGTGCAAGTGCTTCCCAACTACTCCACGCCTCAGAAAACTGATTCCTATTTCAATCCTAAAATGAAACTCAACAGGTGAGAGAACAGGGCGTGGGAGGATGCGCCGGGGGGATGATGAGTTCGTAGTTAAAAACTCTCACACGATTCGAAAAATAACCCCATAAACCAGTTGTTCTTAGGGCCAGAGGAATAGTATTTGAGTAATAAAATAAGACGTCTGACATAAGAGAATCCCATTTGGATGGGTTTTAAATTTGTCTGCTTAGATGATTTCTTTTAATTTGGAAAAGTGTTCCATTGGAAAACTGCCTTCCTAATGAATGATGTTTAAAACCAAGAACATTATATGAGAAATATTGTAGTGTCTGAAGCAATTAAGTACTTTTATGTAATAGGTAGTTTATGCAAAAGAACAGGATTTGAAAAGAGGAGCGCACTTGAAGACTCACTTCATTATGCACGCTTCAGATGTTTTTCTGTGAACCTCCACAAAGTGTTAAAGCTGGGCCCTGCATTCTCTCCTGCAGCTGAACCGCAGCATACGTATAATATATGGTTTTCGTATCCTAGGACTTTTTTATACAGGTCTTTTTCTCTTGGGGGTCACGTTCTCTCCAGTTCCTTCTCATGCTTGTATTGAAAGAGATGAAGGAAGAAACACTGTCTTTTTTTAGGAGAGTCATAAGTCGTGTCTAAACCACAATTGAAAAGTGCAAGCGTTGACACCGAAGCATGGGACGAGGCTTCAGCCCATGCTGACCTCTCATGTTGTCAGCAGCTTTGCTGTTAATATTTGAGCTCGCAGATTCAAAGTTAGCTCAGGTAAGCCTGTGAAAGCGAAGATGTGCCCCTGAGAAATGCCATTCCAGCTACAGTTATGGTTCTGTCTGCAAGAGCAAGGTCTGTTCCTTGAAACAGGAATTCAATTGCTCCGTCATTTCTGAGATACTTTTTCTGCACAGAGCCGTTAATAGGGTAACATCAGATTGTGCTGGGAAAGGAAGAAAAACACTATTTGCTTTGGAGTGCTAATCACTTTTTCCAGTGTTTGAGTAACTAGTTAAGTTGATTCAGGATCTTACCTTCTAAAATACTCTGCTCTGACTATGATGGTGTGTGAAACACCATCATTATGCATAAAGTTAGGTTAAAAGTAAACCTGTTGGAATTAAACTTCAAATGTAGTCGAAGGTTTTGACGTACAGTTCTTAAATTTAACAGATTTTAGCCTAAGTGTTCTAGTAACATGTTCAAGAGAAAGAAAAAGGGGAAAAAAAGAAAAAATTATATTCTCACCTTATTTGTGACCCTTTCTTTTATTTTCTAGGCAATTGATATTCTGTGCATTAGCTGTTCTAGCTGAGGAGCGGAAACCTATAGAATGTTTGGATGCGTTTGGTGCCACTGGTAAACACACAAGTTCTTTACTCTTTAGCAAGTATCCAATAGTATGAGATTGCAAAAATCAGTAACAACTAACAGGCATTGCATATTCAAAAATAAGGTGAGGTACACAGTGATTTTCTTCCTTAGGCAGGCAGTCATTAGCTTCCCCCAAAAAAAGAAAAAAGCCTTCAAGAGCCTGGGATTTGACTGCTTAAAAAGACCATAAATAATAAAAAAAGCCAAGTTTAATAGTCGCCTTGAAGAGGGAGGCTTTTCGCTTTAATGCCTGTGAAGTGCCATGTGTCTGGATCTTCCTAAACTTGCATACAAGGTCTCAGATCTCTTGTGACTTCACAGATGCGGAATTTGGCTGTATAATCAACCTCTGGTTATAAAATGCTGATGAACCCAAACTTTCTTTGAAAAAAGCATCGCTAATCAGTTACAAAAATTCTGAATGTGAACTAAACGTAAAGCACTTTTGTCTGTGTCCGTTAACTGTCTGGAACAAAGGTCTGAAGAGATGTGAACTGTTGGCTTTATTAGCAACCAGCTCTTCTAAACCTAAGATCACTGTTGAGATACAGCGGTAACTGCTCAGCATTTTGTGTAAAAATTCTTGATAATGTGTTTATTGCAGTTCTGAACTAGGCCAGACTTCACAGCTGCATCCTGTTCTGGCATCCCACGCAAGTTCTATGAGGTAGTCATAGACTTGACTACAGAAGTCATCAGTAAACATTTAGAGGCAGCCTAAAAATCTTCACAGTATTTGTTTTTATGTTTGAGGTTTTACTATGGTCTGCCATGGGAGCGTTAAAGCAAGCCAAGAGGCTTTCCTGCCAAATACAGGTCTAGCTTGCTTCAAAAATTGCAGATCTCCTCTCTCTGTATCCCCAGCTCTGATATAAGAAGGTGACAAACAGACTACTGTCTGTTCCATTACAGACCTCGTTGTGACTCCATGCTGACAGAGGTTTGTCAGCACAGTTTTTGCAGGAGCAAGAGAGAAAATTTGCATTACAGTTCTGTATTATAAGCAATTCAAAAGAATGATTTTTTTTTTTCTTAGTGAGGTCAGTGGGCCAGAAACCAACACCATGTTCGGTCATGGAGTTAGAATTCTGACTGAGTCTTTCCTCAGGTATAATGGGATTGCAATGGGCAAAGCACCTCAGAAGCTCTGTGAAGGTTACTATTAATGACTGTAATGAAAATTCCGTGACAATGATTCAGGAAAATTGTCATTTAAACAAAATGAAAGTGATACTAAGGAACACTAAGGAAGATGACAGTGATGAAGCTATAGAAGATGGAGAAGAGAATATTGGCAGCATTGAGGTGACAAAGATGGATGCGAATGTTATAATGCATTTGAGATCGTTCGATTTTATGTAAGTGTTGAGCATTTCCGTTGAAATAGTTTTTGTGTTTCTTCTTTTTGTGTCTTTTGATAATGACTCAATCTCTAATGATTATTTAGGGAAGATAGAATGAAAGAAGTGTCCAACAGTCACTTGTTTGTTTTAAAGGTAATAGTATTGTGCCAGAAATGGTGTGAAAAGTGAATGTTGATTTAAATATTTTAGAAATAATCCCTGGGAAAATATTAAGCCCTTCTGACATCTAGAATGGAATATAAATGGATGTGAAAATGTTAAGCCGAACTGTTTTTTGTGTAATGTCATTGCCTGTTTGATTAAAAAGAAGTGTCAAGTTTATAATTTTTTTCTTAAAACTTTGAATTAGTTTAAAATTCATACCTGTGCATGTATATGTATAGGACTTCATGTTTACTGGATCATTTTTTTAATCCATTTTGCAGCATATTCATCTACAAATAAGGTAGCCTGCTACCTTAGTTTGGCTTATAGATGCATACATTTAAAACCTATACAGGCATAAAAAGAAGCGACTGGATTTCTTGCACTGGTTACCACTATGTTCTAAGCAGATCAAGCAGCAGGCATGCAGGCTGCACATCGTGCTAATCAGTACATCAACTGGAATGCCTACGTTTTAAAATATGTTTGCTCTTACAAGTTTCACCCTCCTTTGAGGATAAAGATAAGCATCAGACCAATGCTCTTTTAACAGTGAACAGGGTCAATGCAAAAAAAATTACTTTACTGGCTTTGTGTTGATGTGTGTTTTCCAGTATGATGCTGCCTTGACTCTTTCAACTTGACACTTCCTCCTCCGGTATTCCAAAGTCATTCACGAGAGGCATGCTATAAATTTAAAACCTGTTTTCTTATTTTATTTTAAATATTGCCATAGATGAAGGTTTTTAAATAGTGGAGGCCTCTAAATTGTTGTCCTCTAAAAACTAAATTGTTGAGCATCTTTAGGTACAGTGTGGGACTTTTTTTTTCTTTTTTTTTTTTTTTTTCTTCCAGACATTTGGACCCCTTTGGAACCTCTGTGAATTATCTGGATTCTGCCTTTAGAAATGTAAGAAATCTTGGAATTGTGTCGTTGACATCCACAGACATCAGTTCTCTGTACGCGAAGGCCCAGCACGTTGCCCTGCGTCATTACGGATGTAACATTGTCAGAACAGAGTACTACAAGGAACTGGCAGCCAGAATAGTAATTGCTGCTGTGGCAAGGTACTGCTGTAACGAATCAGCTCAAATTCTGGTAGAAAATTATCAGTGATACAGAACTTAGACTGCTACTGTAGGTTGTGCATGTTCAGGTTGCAGAATTCCTTAATTCTAAAAGCCAGACTTCGGAACACAGTCTTCATGCTTCATATTTTATGTATGCTGCCTTAGGACAATATAGACTTTAAACTGAGCAAGGTGAAAATGCCTATCTAAGATGTGTGGGGTTTTGTTTTGGGGTGGGCGTGTTATTTTTTTGGAAGTAATATGCAAAGTAATCTCCAGACTTGCATATCTGAGAACTCTCTGTCGTTTCGTGGTCATTACAGCACTGATGGACTTTATGAAGGTTGATTAAACTGCCTGAGTGGCTTCTAACTGGGCGTTATAGTTAAACTTCCTTTAATGGAAACTGATAGTCACTTCAGATCCTTAAGCTTCAGTTTTAAATGTAACTGGGCTAAACAATTTTACAGGTGAAGTTTTATAGTTTTAAAAAACAACAAAAAAAAAACCTTGCGAGTTCAGCACAGTGCCTGCAATATTAACTTGTGAAATTAGTCTTTTGCATATAGATACTTTCAGTCAGCTAATAACTGAAGACTGAAAAACTGGTCTCTAGCTGAGAAAAAGATACAGGCAAGAAGACGAGACAGCTGCTTGGGAAAGACAGGGGGAGGAAACTGAGTGTGCAGAGGTCTTCAGAATATCAGTGTGAAAATACTGACCTCAGATGTTTAGATTTTTCTTCTCTATCTTCTTGCGTATGGTAGGTTGTTCCCTGCAGAATATTCTTAGATATGGATATGCTGTCTCTAATTTAACATAACTTTTCTGTAAAACTATATCATGAACTGAAATTTTTTTGGTGAACTTCTCTTTAGCTGTTTAAGCGAAGTTTTAATTGCCTTCTGGGTTACATGTTCCAACTCCGTTAAGGAAGTTCTTCTTCCCTCTCAAGGCTTTATCTATTCAGGAACATATTCACACTTCCTGTGCTCCTCATTTAATTAACATCTGATGATTTACCACCACTTGTGTCTGTCTAAATTTCTCCTTTTTTGGACTTCCATGCAGTTTGTTTACGTTCTTGTTATAATGTTCTGGCAATAGGTAGGTATCTGGATAGAAGGATGATGCAGAGGGTAGACTGATTTTCCTAGACATGATAAAAATGTAAAAATATGGCTTTCTTAACCTTATAGGAGGAAAACTAAGCATTCCAGAAACAACAGCTGTTTCCTGATCGCGTTCTCACATCTTTAGTATCTCTTTCTAGAAAGTGGATGATCTCAAGAATCTTTCAACAGGTTCAAGTATCTGTGGAAGTGTTAATCTGCATTTCAGTAGAAATGTCCTTTCTTTCTCTCTTTCATAGAGCTGCAGCTCGTTGTAACAAAGGCATTGAAGTTTTACTTGCCGTAGCTCTAGAACATTTTGTTCTAGTAGTGGTCAGAGTTTTGAGGGGACCATCTCCTGCAGACGATTCAGCAAAGAAAATTAAGTATCTCATCCATTGCCAGTGGTGTGAAGAGAGAATTTTTCAGAGAGAGAGTAATATGGTAGAAGGTAAATTGATTTCCTTTGCACTTTCTAGAAGGTCTGAGTCCTGTACATCTGTTTTTATACTTGTTTAGGCCATGTTTACATCCATTTAGTAAAGCAGTACTTCCATTTAATGCGACAGTAAGTGTATGTATGAAGTGGAGAAGATATTTCTAGTGTAAGAATAACAATATCTGTTTTAAGGTAATGGATTAGACTAGTTGTCCAGGTGGATTTCACTGTAAATGTATGTTCTGTCTAGGAACAAATTGTGTACTCCACTAGCTGTGGCTATTGAAGCTGCCTCGACGCCTGATACGCCCTTGGATTCATCCTTTCCGTAAAGGGCACGAAGCCGGGCATGCAATCTTGGTTATCATTCTGTTCCTCCATACAGGGAGAGTTTTGACAGACTTAGGTGTCAGATTGCTATTCTAGAGACCTTTTCCTTAGGTGGTGGTGGTGGTAGTTTGTAGTTCCGTTTTGTAAATTCATGCAAGTCGTACAACACACGTTTTCTTAAACCAGACTTACAACTTATGCCATGAACGTGAGAACGGTCGAGCTCGCTTTCCCACTTGGTACTAACAACAACTTCAAATTTTCATAGTACTCACTTTTTTGTACATCTGTGCTCTTTTATAAGCTTCCCGACTTCCCTGTGGAAATTAAACTGTATACGTTCGCTCCATTGGGTTAAGTCATTTTTACCGGTTCAGAAGAGTAAACAAGCGCCAAGAGATATTCTTATTTTTGTGGAGAACAATCTGCGTTCACTGTGAGTTCGTCTGTCCCTCAGTTAAACAGCATCACCTCAGATTAATCAAGGCTTCTGGGTTAAAAGCTGACCGTGCGTGAGTGTGTCTATACACTAGTTGGCTTAATTTTTGTCTTCTGCCTCTACTGAGGTAACTGCTAGCCAGATAGTAGCGTGAACGAACATGAAAGGAAAAAACGTGTTTGCTTCACAGTAGCAGGTTCTTCAGGATGCATGTTTTCACATGGATCTCCGGAGCACTCTTCTAGTTGCAGATTTTTGGATACCTAAACTACTAATGGGTGGTGATGTCTTTTAATGCCTTACTGAAAGTCAGGTGCAAGAATGTGTAATGAATTTATTACAAAGATTGTCTTCTATTTTAAGAACAGAAATGAGTAACGGATCAGTGCAATGTTATGGTGGAATCTTAATTAGTAAATGAATTGTTTACTTGATGCCTTACATACTTGCAAGGCAGCTGACTTAGGGCTTAGAAAATTTGGAGCTGGGCTGTATTTTGTGTATGTAACCAAGCGATGCTTTCTGGATTTTCTTTTTTACTGATACTTATTGTTACACTGGAGATATACTTAATTATAGGAAGGCTCATAATGTCCTTGTTACTTAAAATATGCCTCTATATATAAAGTGATGTGGCTATTTTGTTTGTTTAATGTTGATTTAACAATGGACATTACGAGCCTTCCTATAATTGTTACTTAAAATATGCCTCGATATATATAAAGTGATGTGGCTATTTGTTTTTTTTGTTTGTTTGTTTAATGTTGATTTAACAACGGTAGGAGGTTTTAATCACTCTCTAAATGATCGTAAGCGCTGCTTGACGGAATTGAGAACGTTGTCGCGTTTTAGATGCTGCTTGCCCTTCTAAATACCCCCACTTAAAGTGAGCTACTGTTTCACATCTGCATCACCTCTTTTTAATAAAGTAAGCATTGCAGGCTGTGTTTCAGAATAACTTAAATCTTGTTTTTCTGTTGCAGAAAACCCTTATCAGCAGCTACCTTGTGATTGTTATGGCAGTATGCCTGGGAAGACAGCAGTAGTTCTTGGTCCTCTCTGGTACGTACATAACGTAATATAGAACCATAGAATAATTTAGGTCAGAAGAGACCACTGGAGGTCGTCTAGTCAGTCCTTTAATAAAAATGTAAGTCTGTTGAGTATTTTAACTCTACAAAGTGTATATCTAGCAGTTAGGAAGAATTCGGGAAACTTTTAATTGAATACCCTCCTAAATTCATGCTGCCATTGGAAACAAAGGAATTGCATGTCATTAAGTTGAGAACACAATCAGCCTGATGCAACACTTGTGCGTAACGTAATCTAATTGCCAGTCCACTGGTGTGAGAGATTTTTAAAGTAACTTTTTGCTTTAATTAAGAAGTATCGAATTTTTACTGTTCTCTTACGTAAATTTCATAGGTCGGGAGCCCTCTTTAACACTGGATTCCTCAGAAGGATGCTGTTTGAGGCTGTTCAGTATGGTTTGGAGGAAACTCAGCCGCTTTTGAAGACATTAGTTTGTGAAGCAGAGTGCACAACTTTGAAGCAGTTTTCTATCCATAGTCCTACTGATGAGAACAAACAAGGTAAGACAAATGGCAAACTGTTCACGAAAAAGCTAGCTTTGTGGTAAGTTAGAGAGGCATTCCTCCTTGGTAACTTAATGCCAACGATAGCGGTGTGTACATAAAAAAGGCAAGAAAATCTTTGTTGCGTTGTATGCAGTACAGGTCTTGTCAGATCTCGTCAGACAACCCTGGATGCTGTAAGCATAGTAAGGTCTGTCAGAGGCAGAGTGCTGGGTTTAAACCCCTTTAATCCGAATGGCAGATCTTTAAATAAACATAATGCAGACATGTTGACTGCCATTAAAATCCCTCAGAGTCACTGAAGGAGTTGGAAATAGTAAGCGTCCGTTAGTTCTGCATTGCACCCTCATCCTGACCTGAGAGTCCCTGCTGTTAGGAAGAGAGGTCTGCAGCTATCATGCTCTGTGTTCTCTGCAGAAATTGCAGATCAGTGTACCAAAAGGAATGGCTTTCTGTAAAATTGAAATGGAGCCAAAACTTAACCTCTATCCAAATTAAAATGTAATCATATTTTGAGTTAGATTGAGTCAGATTTTGAGTTAGATCATATTTCCGTTAGATTCAAATTAGTGAGTTAGTAAGTGAAAGTTACCCGTGCCTCCGACTATACTTCTTACTTTCGATCTGGAATGTGGAGTTAGTCCTTTCTGTTTAAATAGGGCATTTTGTCATTTTACTGTCCTACAGTAAACTTAATTTTGACTTCTGATTGTATTCTAGAAGAGTGTGGTGTATATATCAAAACACCAGATACTTCAGCAGAATCCTACTTGGTACATGGTAAGTAGATCATTTTGGTGCAACTGTAGCACTTTCATGTTCAACTGTTGCTTAGTGTTCACTTTTATATACATACACACACACATTTGATAATATTTGTACTCAAGAGTTACTTTCCCCCAGCAATACTAATTTTACTTCATCTTCATCCAGAGTCACGTTTCCTGTGAAAGGCAACACACTCGCCCAACACACTCGCACTTCATAAAGTGTACTTGGCTTCGGTTGTTATGACTCAAAACGGTGTGTTAATTAAATTCAGGCTAGATTTTAACTCTGCAATATTTAACTTAGGAAAACAGATAGAGGTGTAGTTGCTATGTGGCTCTTTTGTATTTGGTGTTCTGAGCTTACTGATTTCACTGGTATTCTTTGTGGTCCAGGAAAAAGAAAAAGTAATGAAGTGATTCGAAATCCAACAAAACGACAAAAATGTGAGAACAGTGCTGAGCACCCTGCATTTTACTACAATATCCATAGACACAGTATTAAAGGAATGAACATGCCAAAGTAAGATTTTTACTTAAGTTCCAGTCTTACATTGCGATGATGATTCCTATGTAACTTGCATTGAATGAGCCCTCTTAGCAGTAACACGTTTTTAAATGGCTTTTGCAGGTTAAATAAGTTCTTAAGCTATCTCTCTGAAGCTGGATACAGAGTAAGTAGAACCCATTTTGATCCTATGGGAGTTCGCACAAATGCCCCCTTGGCGCAATTTAAGACTATCCTTGTGAAGTACAGCACTCCCACGTACACTGGGGGGCAGGCAGAAGGCCCTGTCCATCTAACCGAAGATCTCCAGGTAGGAGACCATGTTCAAGCTGCTGTAGATGGCAAAGCAGGAGATGCCGACGTTCGGGACGATAATAAATCTGGAGGTACTGCCGTGTTCACAAAAGACTGCCCTGCTCCTTGTGCAGCTGACTAATGAAATTCACTGTTTTGAAATCAGGATTTTGAAGACTTAAAACTATACCTGTGCGAGTAAGCCATTACTTCTTACAGAACTGAGTTTTGAAAATCTGAGTTGCCTGCTCTTTTAATTTGTGAAGATATTTTAGAATTGCATAGGAGAACTTGCCACTGATCACAGTGTGTGTGGTCGAGGTACCGTTACTGTGGGAAAGTCTCTATAGACAGTTACTTGCTTTTATGCTCACATCCACTTTTACACTGTGGCAGCGTGACTACCCTCAAATCTTTGTAAAGCCTTATTCGGATTGCTAGCACAGAATCCGGAAGAGTGGACGGGGCCAAAAGTCTTAAGCATTTCTGAACATCAGCTTAATATAAAATGGACTGTCATTCCTAAAACTTGACTGGTTAGAATTTAAACAGTTTATGTTAAGGTGATAAAATGCTGCAGGATAAAATGTGGCAAGCTAGAAAGTGCTAGCCAGGTGCACTGAAACTCCAGATAGTAGTGCATTTAATTTGGCAGTCGTTTCTGTTTTTATAGTTCTGCCTAGCAGCAAAGGCCTAACCCAAGTGAGAAGAGAAACGAATTAAGTTACAAAACTGTTACTTAGACTTCAGTTCTTAGCCAAGCTTTCGTGGATTGTGTTTAGTCACTCTAGGTAGCTGTTTGTTCAGCTGAAACCTGGTTCTTTGCTGGCAAAAAGGTACAGTGATGAGACACCACAAGTTTAAGTTCTAGGTGAAATGTTGCAATTAACTAGTCAATAATACAATCTTTGTTTAAAAAAATCTCTTCTGTGAATGAGCAAAGATATTCTGTGTCGGTAGTCACTTCTGGTTTCCTTAAATATATGGCAGTATTCCAGCCAAATAAGCACGACTTTGTCCTTTTTCTCCCCCCCAAACTTTGTTCAGTTACCTATAGATTTCCCTTGAAAGGGGAACTATTACAAATTGAAACAATCAAAGTAATAGTTATGGTTTTTCACAGCTTTGGTATTGAACCTGTCACAGGACTGGTACTTCTTTTGAAGAATGTGAGGTGTTCTTGCCTTTATTTTCCCATCTCTAAAGCTTCACAACAAGAATATTACTGCTTTTCTGTCATTCAAAACTGAGTCCCAAACAGGAACAGCAGCATGGCAACTTGCAGTGGTCTAACTTAAAAATGATAGAAGATAGTGGAAATCCAGATACAATTCCGATTGTGCAAAACTTCTTCATAAGTTCCTACCAGGCCTAAATTAAGTTACTGCCTTTTATACCATCTTAAATTCATGATTACTTTTGTAATGAGTTATTGACATTCTGGCCTCATAGGAAAAAACAGGAGACCACTAGAGAAATAACAGATTGCTGCAGTAGTGATACAGCAACAAACCAAACTAAATTCTTCTCAAAAATTTACACAAAACACAACTCTGAGGGGGAAAAAATAGTTAAGATATTCTGCAATTGTTATGTAAATATTTTTTAAGGGGCGAGGACAATTAGAAGACTTCACTTCTAGATAGTAAAACTGCTCCCTTGAGCAGGATTAATATAAATGGGATAGAATTAGTCATAAAGCCAGTTAACTGGAGCAAAAGGGAGAGCTATAATTACAATAAAGTAGGCTAAAAAGCAAATTTAACTGAATCCTTTTGTGGGAGTTATTTGTGATTACTTTTATGGCTCCTCCTAAATAACAGAAGCTATTGTGCATCTTCTCCAAGTCACAGCAAGTTACTATTGCTCAGTATTCTTAGATGTATACAAGGAGTCGCAGAGAAAGGCGTCAGGCTTGTCTGTACTTCCAGGCTTTTTTTCCTTTGTCAGATGGGCAGAAGCAACTCTAGACTGGGACAAGGAGTTTCACCTGTTTTCCTGGACAAGCCAAAGAGGAGGTTGAGGCTCGGGCCTCTTGGAATTCTCTTTCTGTTGAGTATTTGTCTTGGGAGATCTGCCAAAGTGCTTGTTAATCAGCTAGGGTCAATCCTGCAATAATTAGCTAACAGAACGCTAGTGTTCACTCAAGGCAGTCATTGGCAGCTTCTCCTTTGTATTATTTTTTGATTCTATTAAAAAGTATGGTTAGTATGTTGTCCTGTTGTATGATGTAGAAATAGGATTTGGGGAACAGTTGCGCTGCTAGGGTACATCTCAAACAAGTCGCCTATAGCCCAGCGGTACAGAGCTTTCTAGTCACAACTCAAAGCTGTGAGAAACTTGAGAAACGAGTTGCACTGAAATACATGTTGCCATTACAGTAGTTCCTAAATCAGGGTGATAATGCAGGTGTTGGTTGCAAACTTGCAGCTGATACTCTTGAAATTCCTGTAGCTGTTACATGTTGTATCATGAGGCTTGAGCAGTTACTTAGAATAGTCCTTTGCCAGGTGAACCCTGCCACTAGTGGCAGGGAACTTCATCATGCAGGAAATCTCTTGCTGCAAGTGGCTTGAGCTCAACAGCACTTCAGAACATCTGATTAGTATTTTTCAGTTTTGAAAGCGTTTCCACTCATTCTTCAACCTCGGTTAAAAGCAGAGAATCTGATCTGCTGATAGTCACTATAGAGGCCCTTCAAGCATGCTGAGAAAATAATCTTTAAGTAAAAGATTTTTATGAACAGATGCAGGTTAAAGAAGTGTTTTTATGTAATACAGGCCTAATGTTCATGTAACTGTTTGTTTTTGCCTTATCCATTAGGCAACCAAACTCAGAATTGTCTTCTGAAAGAAAAAAAAAAAAAAAAAGGTTCCATTGGTCCTATATTGCCTTACATTTCTGTAGGTCTCCAAGAAGCTCCTTGGTGGAATCTACTAACCAAAGCCAGCTTCTATATAGTAGAAAGTAAGTGGGAAAATACACAGGAGTCAACCTTTAGGTGATTAAAGTCAAGTCTCATTCAAAATCAATTCTGGAGTGCTAAGCAGAGCTTTAAATGTTTCGTCAGTTTCAGTCCAACAAGCTGAAGCAAATTAGGAGGCCTGGTGCAGAATGCATATAGATCAGCAGCTGCAAATGCAAGGAGCGGAGGAGAGCTATGTGGAGCAGAGATGGGAGGTCCACTAAGATAGCTGGACACTGAACTAGCACCTGCTACCATTTAGTTCCATGTAGTAAAACCTTTCTGTTTTTATGTTAGTCTAGCATATATTCAACACTGTTATCCATATGGAATTTCTTCTTTGCCTTCTTGCAGGTGCTTGAGATAAGGGGATTCTTCCAGTTCCATTGAATATGCCACAATAAAACAAAAAATTAGAAAGTTCTGCATCTCTGAGCTCAAACCTCCCTTTTAAATTAAGATTTACATGGAGAACAATGTACAGGAATATGATAAACTTTTTCCCTCAGAAGATCAGACCTGATTACTTACCAGAACCATTACGGTACTGATTTCAGTGTTACATTATCAGTTGTTCAGCCTTCTGGAAGACAAGCAGCAAGGATGATGGTAAATAAAAGTTTTAGGATATAATATAGTTACTGTTAGGGGTAGTATAATGGCACCTCTGATGCCTGTTAGCAGATGCCTGTCTCCACCTACCCAGTGAAAGCTACTGCATAGGTGCCCTTTTCTAACATGCTGCGGTTGGTGGTGGCGCTTAGCACTGGAGGGAAGCAAGACGTGGGGTTGCAAAATTCTGGTGTAAGAGGGTCCCACTGTCCCCAAGGTGAGAACCACTTGTGGGGGAATAATAATCCCACATTAAGTCTGAATGAAAGCAGTGTTAGGGAAGAGCAAAAGAAAGATGTTAGCAAAAATTCAGCTGCTTGTAATGAGCCATTGAATGGTCAGTATCATGCAAGTTGCATCATTTATGACTAGTACTGTATTATGCTCTTCAGTATTCTGAAATAGTAAGATAGTAAGCCCCATCTCTAAGATAGTTAGTTACCTTTGCGTCAAACCACATTTAGTCTCTCTAGGCTGCTACTGCTATTGTCATGTCATTGATTTTATGCTTCTTGACTGAAAAAGTTTTCAAAAAGTTAAGTTTGATGCTTGTCTCAACGCTGAGGAAAAGGCAAGCTTCTTATGTGCTCCTGAGCACGTCTGCTCAGGCCTCTCCCAGTCCTTACCGACTTAAGTTACTCATTTAAGGCAGTGTTTCTAAATCTTCAAAGTAGTTAGTCAGTTATTCCAACCTACATTAAGAAACAAGCTTCTAGAAATACATAATATCATGGTTCCCTGGAGGAAAAGCCACTCTGTTCCCAGAACAGCACCACTGATTTCTGTCAGCTACAAGAGTTAAGTATTTGAGCAAGATTAACCGACAAGAAATAATGCAAAACCTCCACTGAAAAAGGATCCTTTCCACAAGGATGAGGCATCTTCATCGCCAGCTAAGCAGGCCTAATGGATTAAACAGCCAAAACTGAGCTTGCTTTAAGCTTTTCTCCCAAAACAAGTAAGTGCTCACAAGCCTTGGGGGAGTATAGGGTTCAAGGGAGAAGGAGCTGTGTGTCTCAGAACGCATTTAAACATTACAAGAAACGTTCTCCTCTTGAAGAACAAAGATGTCCAAAGCCTCTAAAAAGAGAAGCCTCCCAGGAGGCAATTTGCTTTTCACTTTCTCCTCCATGACAAACAGTACTCAAATAGTGACACGACAGTGGTGGGAAAAAGCGGGCAACTGGTTTTCTATAGCGGAGAAAGACAGCAGCCCGCAGGCTGGCGGTACGGTAGGAGTAGGGCCTGCAGCATCAGGGCTGGGTGTGAAGGGCCAGGTTCTGTAGTCGCCAGAGCTGAGTGCGTTCTTCACCGCTGCTGGAGCGGCGCCCTGCCCAGGCAGAAGCCCTTCTCGTCCATTGTGGTCCCTAGGCCAGCGTTCACTTGAGTCCTTTGTGAGCTTCGTAACACAGTGTCAGAGCAGGGAGAGGTTCACTTTGGCTGAGATTTTGGGCAACTTTAAAAGAATTAAAACTGTTACAAGAAGGGTCAGAAGGCTATTAAGCAGCATGAGTACAGGCAAACAGGGCCCCCACCGTTGCTTGCACAACTAGAGGGCATCCCACCTTTACTCTTTTAACTCCACCACAAGAGGTGGGATTTGAGTTTCACAACTGCAGTTACAATTAGAGATAAGGTAACGAAAGTGAACAGAACTTCACCATTTCATACATGTATCTCAACCCAACCAATTTGCTGCAGTTATCCCTCACTTTTTTGAGTCTTGTTTGTTGAAGCTGCTTAATAGTCAGCTAAACATTGAAGTTGCTGGTTTTAACCTACCTTGAGTACTGTGAAAATCTTTCATCGCATTTCTTAGGCTACAGGAGCAAAGGCAGAACAGCAGCTCCTGTGCCAGGGCAGGGCAGTGCCTGGAAGAAAAAGCCTCTGCTCGCAGGGCTTCGGTTTGCTTCAATGGCCTGTAACATCTTCCCGCCCTCCCCTCTGGAGAAGCCACAAACAAGGTGGCCTTGAACACTCAACCTGTAAAGGAACTTCTGAATGGTTTGTTTTATGAATTACAAGAGGAGGCAGGACTAGAATTTGAGAGTTTAATAACGTTTTTACTTTTATTGTCAGTTTGAGAATCTGTGTGACTTCAGTTGGATATTGGAGTTGTTAGACTTACCCGTACCTAACGCACACAGTGTACTGAAAAAATAACATGGTTTAAAAAAAGGATGGAATAGTAATTTTGAAAATAAAATAGTTTATAGCACTAAAGAGTCACAGTGCAATCAATGGTTTACTCAAACAACTACATCATATATAATATTTAAAGAACATAAATATTCAGTAAATTCACTACGACATGAAAGTAAAAGCTTCACATTCTCCCACGCTTTTTAAAGAACTGGGGACAAAGTGACAGACAGTTCCTAGACAGACTGCTCAGCTTCACAAACACCTCTCTTGCTTAAGGGATCGGACATTGCCTTAGCTATCACAATGGGTGCTGCAACTAATCTAGAAGTTTTCCCCATAAATTTTAAAGCATTTATAATCACAATACCCCCCTCCCACCCCCCCACCTCCCCAGGTTATATTTAGTGGACATGCACTATTAGTCTATACAATGCAACATTTCACCAGAAAGTAATGAATAAAGTAATTAAAAACTACTCCCCCTCCCCTTTGTTTTGGAGTCTGAAGACTTTAGTCTCATGGCACAATTGTAAAAAACAAATGTTTCCAGTAGGAGACAATAATTTAAGTAAGTTATTCAAAGAAGCCTATGTAGTTTTTATATAGGGATAAAAATTGATGGGGAACAGCAGTCAAAATGGACACGTATTTACAAGTGCTAGACTTGAAAAACAGAAGTAATGGAAGGGCAGGTTCCTTCCCAAGAGAATCCCCAAGAATCTGAACACTCACGTACCACAGGCCAAAAAGGCAGTCTAACTAGAGGCAAGACAAAGGAGGAGGAACACCGTATGGTTTAAAGGATGTTACTTCTCACCTATTATAGCAACTTTTTTGCTTCTAGCTTCAGATGCAAAGAGCAGAAGGTCTCATCAGGAAGTTTTACAGCAAAGGGAATCTCACGGTGACTACATCCCTTAGGAAAAAAAAAAACACCCCCCCCCCCCCCCCCCCCCCCCCCCCGTTACGTGAAAGCAAGGTCCAGCGCGAGGGAAGAGGATTTTAACATGCACATAAACAACAGTTACTGAACTTCACACAATGGCCTACTCTCAAGTTTAAGAGCTTGAGCCTAATTTAAGACACTAAATGGTAAACGTTGTCAAGTACTAAAATTTTCTTCCAAAGTGCTAAGCCACATTTGTTAAAGCTATGGCAAAAAAATAAAAATAAACAATTCTTAGAGCAGCTTATGGTTGAAGTCCTCCCTATTCAAACTGAAGCCCAGTCAAGCTCACGGCTAGGGTGGCAAGAACTCTATAAAACAAAGCATTTGCACATTTCATTACAACATCGTGCTGGAATGTAGGGAATTTGCTTTAAAAAGAGTTTCCAAGACAGTTCTTCACAGAAAATTCTGATACATTCACAATAAAAATCTGCTATGACAGGGAGCAAAGTAGAGCTGTGAAACTATCATCACAAGACTTTGCTCAGCTAAGCTTGTGAGGACAGGAGCCAAACTGGGAATTGCAGCGTACATCAAGATCGGGATGCTTTACAGAGGGAAGGGTCCTTTTGGGGGGCGAGGAGTGGTTTGACTGAATTACTTGTTAAAAAACAAACCAAACTCATGAACCACCTTACACAGAAGTATTAAGCCCAGTAAGCAGCATGGTTTTAAAGTGTCAGTTTTCTCACACCATGTTTGTTCACAATAAAATGACTGAATAATAAATCCCCTTTTCTAGGGGGTTAGATTACTTCCAGCTGCAAGACTATCAGAAATCAATTCTCTACCATCTTTTATATGGATAACCATTAGCAAATTACACCATTTAACACATTCCTTGGCATATGTTACTATTGAATAGACTTAATAATTAGCTATCCAATGCTCAATACTTCACAGAGGCTACTATAGCTGTGTCAAATGTATTAGAAATCCAGATGTACCTGGACTAAATTAAGACATTCCAAACTGGAACACTTGTTCAGTTATCATGCATTGGGAACAAAAAAGCATGTCAAACAATGGAATGCACTGGAGAAGGTCATTCAATCTCCTAGGGAAAAACAAAAAAAAAAACAAAAAGTCTAAATTAAATACAACCCAGAATACTGTCTAATCATATTAATAGGTACACTGAGAGAGCCAGAAGACATCACATGTATTGTCCATGAAAATAATGGTGGTGCCTTCTTTTAATATTACAGAAATCATAACTATAAAAAGAGTTAGTCCCATCTCAGTTTCCCTGCACAGCTTATTTATGTTCCTTTGTTGGTGCATAGTACAGTTCCATGGGTTTGTTCACTTTCCAGTACTTCTCACTGACCAGTTCCAAGGAAAACGAGCCGTTTAATACCTAGAAGGGAACACCAAAACAGAAATGAAAAATATCTAATGCTTTGCACAAATAGTACTGTAGCAACAGACACCTACGTAAGCTGGAGCAATGCTTAGACTGAGTAAATAAAAGTAACTGAGCAAGTGTCCTTAGCTAACAATTCAGTGTCAAAAAGCAGTAACACAGGCTATTCTGAACTCCTGCCAAACTCATTAAAACAGCACTGAAGAAACACTTTTGCTAGTTGTATACAAAGTGAATACAGTTGCAGATAAAGTGAACTTCAGTTTTCTTTCCTCCCTCTGGAGGAAAAAAAAAAAAAAAAGGCGAGAGTAGCACATGTGTAATTACACCAGAAGCATCTACCTTTTCCTAAAAGGCAATCTGTAGTCATGTTTGAAAGCTCTGCAAAGATTCTTACCATGAAGCATCTGGGTGTCTATTGTAGCAACTGACATTCTACCTCTCCCTACCCAGTTGAGGGCTCAATCTAATTGCCGTATTGCCATGTTGCTGTATCTGTATGTTCCCAAGTCATGAACTGAGAGGAGGGTTCTTCCCTAAATATATTCACAGCAGCTGTTTCATACTAGCATACTAGGAGCCTGTGGGAAAATGGAGAAACACTTCCTTATGACTGGCACTTCCTGATTCTCGGAAGTGCTGTCTGCCTTTGGGCATGAAACAAGGTTTTCAGGTGAAATAATGTTTCTCTCTTCAATCTTAATTGTAAAAAAGGATCTGGCTCTCACCTGGCATAGGTCAGCTAGTAGTTGCTGGCATCACTAGATTTAACCCCAAATAATATTTATGCTTCCTTTTCTACTAACCAATCTTTTGCGATATACATTTCCCACAAAGCAATTAATGTTTCTAAGCATGCAACCCGGCGTTATGAGTATTATCCCTGGGTCAACTCAAGAATTGAGTCCAACTGACTGGATTTTAATCATATTTATATCAAATATGTAGTAGTATTGAACTTTGGGGTTACTCTTGGGCAGAAATCCTACTTACAGTGAACTGCCCATTGGCAGTAGCAATGTAAATGGTGTACTGCTTCTCACTGGCAGTGTCGAGATTCATCTGGTTCGATTCTCCTTTGCTTCGAAGCTCCTCCAAAGCCAACCTCACAGCTAGGTACTTGGACAAGTGATCAACAGTGGCATTGCCCGAGGTCTTTATGTATCTGCAACACCAACCACAAAGGTGACCAAAGACAGTTGAGTTACAGGTGTAGGAAAAAGGCATTTGGAACCCTCCCTCTCCCAAACATTAAGCATCAAGTGTGAAAAGGCCTGTAAAGGAAGTTCACAGGAGCGTTAAGTGTTTTTACTCAAGCCGTGCAAGCAGGTTACCAAATTATGCTGTTCTTAAGAGTCCTTACATCTTTCTGACACTTCTCCCACAGGCTCTTATGCTGTTTGTAGAGAGAAGACAGCACTGCCCTGTCATCTGCTTGAAATGAAAAACCTGCTAACAGGTTGTCAAGGGTTTTTCAGAACTACTCACAACTGCTCAAACCTTCTGAGCATAGATGCAACCCGACGTTCCTGGACGGAAAGCCACCAGGTGGGAGAGCTATACATGCAAGCAACGCGATCCCCGTGTCTGTTCCCTGCTATAGTTACCCTTATTTTCTTGTTACCTGTTCCTTCCCTAATTCTTTACACAAGAATTGAGAAGCGTGACACACCAGCGCAGCAGCAGAGGCCTCCCCCAGAGGCTTTGTCTTTGCCTTTCAGAACAACCCCCAGAGTTCTCTCACAATTCCAAACCAAAAAGAAAAGCTGGCTGAGGCTTGTAATGTATTTATAGGCACTACAGAGAGATGTCTCATCGGGAAAGAAAGTCAGGAAGAGATCTGAGGAAACTCCTCATGACTGCTCACTGCTGTGAGCCATTATTTGCAGGCTCTGCTTGGACTCAATCATGAGAGGAAGTGCCAGGTAAAGCCTCCAGCCTACAAATCATGCTGACACACAGCTGCTCCAAAAACTGCTCGGACACTTCTGCGAGGTTTGTTTATTCCCACAGGATTTTACAGCAAGTAGAAAGGGACTGATAATATACCATCTTCCCAGTATCTACCGAGAATTGTGAGGCTGGAAACCCTTAGAAACATCTTTATCTGTGATCAAAGGCTTAAAACAGATTGTTACTATAACCTTGTGTTTTTTGCAATACTGGAACAATACCACCCACCTGACTTGAAATAGAAAGAGTGCATTTGGTTAAACAGGATGTGGCATGACCATAGCAAATTGATTTAAAAAAGCCCCGAGAAGCGACAGACAGAAAAGAGAAGTGACAGTAGAAAATAACAGCGAAACACATGAAGAGGAATAGAAGACGTTTACCTCGTCTGTGCGCTATCATCATTCTCCATGAGGGTAGGATGAGGCCTGAAGACTAACTCTATTTCGCTAGCGCCATCCATTACAGGATCTATTGCCACAGTTGTGTTGTTATTGTCCAGTTCTAGCCCAGAATCATCTGACGTTTTGGTCCTCTTATTACTAGGCCCTGCTTCCTGATTGCTGTGCGTTGAGGCGTTGCTACAGTGCGAACTGTCACCGTTATCTTCTGCACCACTGCCGTTCTCAATCTGTTGTTTTTTGCCCCTCTGTAACCTGATTAGAAATAGGTAGAAATAAATGTCAGCTCAGCTGCTAATCAGCATTCAGAATTCACCCAACTACTTTTACAATTCCCTCCCTCCCCCAGGATCAGTTGCGCTAAAAGTTAGAAATGGGTGACCTACCAAGAAGAACATACAAGAGTACTAAACGCTTCAGAGATACAAGGGGGGGAAAAAAAATCCTATTTGTAACATTGTTTCATAGAAAGAGACATTCATACACAAGACTGCAGATTTTCCTCCTATCTCTCAAACACATTTTAGAGACATTTTTTAGGATGGTTTTCAATTTGATACAATTATTTTTTATTTTTCAGCTAAGACACATGATTCTTTTCATCTAAATATTAATCTGTACGTGATGAAAAAGAAAAAAAAAAGTCAAACGAACAAAGACTCATACCATGCTTTACCACAACATGAAGTTTGAGGCATCTTTCCCAACTGGCTCTCTTGTGTTTAAATGCATACCCAGAATTCCAATTCTATTATACTTCAGACAGTCCAGCCTCGTGGATTAAGTTGCAATTAAAACACCTGAGTTCTGGCATTATGTGTATTTGTTTGCATATAATGGTAATGTTTTGGTACGGGATTCATTGTATTACAGTCTGTTACCAAAGGCACGTTACCTAGACTTTGGTAAAGCTAAAACCGAAATCTGCTGTCTACATCTGGCTGCAACAGAAGTGGCAGAGAACGATATGAAGGTTTCTATTAGTAGACAAAGGTTAAAAATTACTTTGGCAGTGTTTGGAGGGGAAAAGAGGAACCCCCAAATATTCTGGGGACAGGTAGCATGCCTCTAAAATTGTATCGCGGACCACGTTACAAGTAGACAAACTAGGTAGGTTACATACCTGTTCATAGCCTGAATCTTTAGTCCTTCCTCAATGCTGTGACTTAAAGCTTGCTGGTTATTGTGTTTGCTGATTCTTGCTAGCACTCTCTCCTGATGAGCTTCATATTCATCACGGCTTGGGTAAATTTTACTGATGAGAGCATCAAAATTGGGATCTGGTCTCAGTGATCTTTTTGAGACTAGCTTTTTACGACACGTGGGACATTCTTTGTTGCTAAACATGAATAAGAAGAGAGAAAAGACATACTAACTCTCTAGCTATAAGCAGTCTGCCCTACAGCTACAATTCTTAGACAAAGCACTCCGTCATGACTTGATACCCGCAGTAAATCTGGAATGGGGCTTCTATCTTTTGACAGATCAGGTAGTTCAAGATACTTAAACAAAAAATCCAAACGCACTTCCCTCTGCTTCAATTGTTATGAGTATGTTGAAAGAAACTATATTTAGACTGAAGAATTCATAAGTCCTACTTTACAAACTGGTTCTTTCCCTAAGCTCTAGCTGGATTTTTCACCTAGAAAAGATGCATTTTTTTATAGAAATTATGTTGAAGGCATAGTCTTTTGTAGCGCTCAGAACAAGACAAAAATTAAGGACCCTATTACATAGTTCAAGCACCAGTTTATTCTCATTTAACTAACATGTCAGGTTTACGCATTTTTTTTTCCCCCAGCGAAGAAAAGGTTTCAGTAACTGGGGGCTTTATTCTTGATGGTTTTCTCATATCCCTCTATATACAAGAATATTTTTGTCAATCACTGCGCACAGTGAATTACGTGTGACCTTTGAGCACAGCTAATTGCCATCATCAGAAACAGATACTTAAATCGCTCAATTAATTGCCGTTGGCTACCTCATAATTCTACTGCTTTCAAGAAAATATGCCCATGTAATTGAAGAATACAAGAAAAACGATTTGTGCGTTAGCATAGGTTATATTAGTAGCTAAGGTCTGAGGTAGGTCTACTGCTGAGACCTACTCAAATTGTGACCTGCTGAGAGGTCACAATTTACTATGCCCAGGTAAATTCTCGTCGGTGATTAACAAACATTCTTGTATGAGGGAAAGGAAAAAATGAGGGAAATAAAAAGATGTTACTTACAAAAATGAGTCTGTTTTGCTTTTAGTGGACCTATTTAAAAAACAAAAACACAACACACACACACACACACACACACACACACACACACAAGACGGGTTTTCAACTCCTTATAAGAAACAAAGTTACGGGATAAATTTCCACACAAGGAAAAGGCTAGGTCTGGCCTGCCACTGTGGCGACTGAACACGGAAGAATGAGACATGATAGGTGTGCTATGCATTCAAACACACAGGCACTTAACTGTTACACACCAACACCCAGGGCTTAAAGGATTTCCTTGCTCACTTTTAGATCTGAAAGGAAATCCCTTTCCTCTGTCATAATATTTACATACCCACTCCTGAGGGCTGTAATGATACAGTCAGCGCAGAAACGATGCAAACATTCTTTCGTCGTCATGGTGTTTTTTAACATATCCAAGCAAATGGGACACATCAGTTCACTGTGCAAGCTCCTGGGCGACACCACTATTTCCAAGCCATCGGTTATCGCTTCCTAGCGTGAAATCAAGGAAAAGTTCTTTCATGAACCTGAGTAATTTTCCTACCGAGATCGCACTTTTCACTATTCTTTTAGAGAAACACGGTAGAAAGACAAAACAAGACACGTGCACAGCCACCTCAAGCACATATATATTTTTTTCAAAAGCATATTACCTGAGGTGTTCTTTGCAATTCATATAAACTGAGCTCCCAAGTTTTGCTTAAAGGTTGCGTACCGTTTGTCTGCACGGCTTGAGACATGGCTGGGAACAAGAAGAGACACAAGTTACAACCTACTTCCTAGTAAAATGGACAGTCAAAATTGCGCACCTGAACACACGTGCACAAAACTCTTAACTAAACACGTTTCCCAGAAGCATGCTATATTGCCTTTTCTTTTCCTCCTGAAAACACAGCACTAGGGTTTTCCAGTCACAAGTTTAGAGAGCGCTAAAAGATAGGGTAAAAGCTATTCATAGTGGTAAATTCAGAGTCCAGTTCTCCTGAGCAATGCCACTGGGCTCCAATGGATTTTCACCTGACTTGCAGCGTCTTGGGAGGGAAGTGAGAAGTCACAAGTTTTCAGTTTGAGAAACCCGAATCGTACAAGCACTGTCAGTGTTTTTCTCATTTTTGAGATCAGTAATTTCAGCCATGCATTCCTGGAAATGGATAGGGCTACGAATATCCGAGCACAAAAGGTGACTGATATACCCTCTAACGACTGCTACTGGAGAACTTACTTAAAGACGAATCCCTGTGCATCTGTCCTACGCTCACGCGCACACGCTGCACAGAAACTGTTTGCTTTCCCACCCAATTCTGTAATCAGCACATGAGATGAAGCAAAACCACCGAACACGTTCACAGCAGTGATGCCAAAAGAAGCCGAGCAAAATGCAGAAGTGACGTTTTGGACAGAAAATATTTTCATGCTGGGGGAGAAGAGGAAACCTTCCCCCAAACCTTCCCCCCACAAAAGCCTGCCTTAAAATAGGAAACATTATCCTCGATTCTGTTGTACTTTTATAAACAATGCAACCACGTAAGAAGCAAGATTGTAGCTTGCAGCCACTCCTACAAGGTGGAAAAAGCAGAAGTGCTTTCATCCTCTGTTATCACTTCTTTTAAATCTAGATTTGTATTTCCAGACCCTTCTGATAGGCAGCCAAGTGCCAAGTGTATTTGCATCTATCAAGTACGTTATAATCTAATTTTAAATTCATCAGGTTCTAGATGAAAAGGGTCAATCTCTCTGGAGAGCAGGGTTACTTTATAAGCTTTAATTAATTGTTGAGGGAGAAGAGAGAAAAGCGGTGCAGCAAAGATTGTCTGTTCTTCTCCAGGCACAGAAGTGAAGAGTTTTCCCACTTTAAAAAAAAAAAAAATTAGGAGAGGACAGACGTAGAATTGGTCAATTCCAATTTTTATAATATAAATATTGTGCCCTAAAAATACAGTCTGCTTGTCATAAGAGACACCCTCTTCTGTACGGATAAGGAAAAAGAGACATCCAGTTAGTACTTTAACTCACCATTAAAACCGACAAGCCACCACTACCAAGGTGCAGACCGTGAACTGAGTTTGGCCTAGGGCTGGACGGCACTGTGGCGCGCACAAGTAACCACTTGCCTGAACTCGCACGCTTGCACTTGCTAACATACAATAGCGGCTGTTTTGGTGCCAGACTGTTGGCAGAACTATCCATCGGGAGAACAAGTGCATTAACATTATTCCCTATACTGCAGTCTTGCCTTCAAGCCCGAGGCTACGCTGCAGAAGACACTGTACGAGTGTCGTAATAAATAACTGATCCGCTTTATTCTAAAGGTTTGTCATCTGAGATGCAGTGTGCTTAATTCCCACCCAAAGGTCTGCAGTGATAGCACTTCAGAGTTTTAAGAGCAAAGACATTGGCCTTAAGGCCAATCCAAGGATCTCTCCAAAGCTAGAGGGATCCCCACAGCGCGCTCGCCACTAGCAAAAGGGATTTGCTTTCAAAAAAGACCAAGTCTTCTCTGCAACTGGTGTGTACAAAATCCAAATCAAAGGAGCAGTGGAAACATGGTCAATTCAAACATCCCCCCCCACCAAAAAAAAGCAAATAGCAAAAAATCACTTCACACTGCACAGAGCTTTCCATCTACTTAATGATCAACGGATGAGCCTCTGCAGCTTTGCTTCTGTTTCCCCTACATTTTATAATCTGCTTCCAGCTCTGTATTGGGCCTGACAAATGCATTTAAATGAGTTTTGACTGCTTTTCCTTATGACACCCTTGGACACCAAGTTGAATCCACGTTTCTTCTCCCTACCGAAATCTAATACAGCAACATCGGCAGCACACGCCAATACCAACGATCCAACCCCACTAAAACCGCCCTGACCATTTAATAGTCACCAAGTATCAACTAGAAGTCTCAAATCATAACCAGTAAGGCAGCTCTTTAGGTACTCTCCATGAATAATCCTCTGCACTCGCTTTGGGAACGGAGGTAGGACACAAACCTCCACGGTTAGCTGACTCTCAAATCACTCGTTAGAGCCAAGCAGGAGGAGACTGCATTGGCTTCTTGCTCTTCGCTTTAACAGCATATAATTAGACAACTATGCTGACATCTGTTTTAAACAAAGCAAGCGCTCTTTGCCGGTAGTCATTTGAACGCGCATCCCAAACTGCACTGCCTATTTCATTTGGAGGTGTCGCCTAAGCTACTTGTTTCTAGCAGAAAAAAAAAAAATAATAATGGTTAAGGCATGACTGCCCTGGTCTCCACCATCCTCTTGGTTCCTGTGCTGGCTGCGGACTTGAATTGCTGCCGACAGACCATCCCTAGCTCTCCTTGCCTGGCACGAAGGTAAACGAGACCCAAAAAATTTTTCTAGCTGTTCTGACAGTGTCAAGATTTTCACCGCCTTTAACAATGACACAGAGATTACACTTTAGTTCAGTTTTAAGACAGTCTACCGCTACCAGATTTGAAGCAAGCTCGCCTTAAAAGAAATCCAAAACGGTGCAGGCCAGACCAACTGATCCTTTTTGAGGCTACAAAATTAGGAAAAGTCTTTCATGAGCCAAGAAAGAAAGAGTTTGTTGTTGTTCACAGCTTTGCTTAGTGCGAAAATTATAAAACACAATAAATGGAAAACTCACCCCTTTATTATTCAGTCTGGAAATGTAATTTACTGAAATCTCCAAATTCTGAACATCGTTTGAAAATGAAACATGGATAAGCCTCCAGCAGGCACAATAACCACTGCTATATGGAAGCTTTACCCTTAAAGTCTGCACCCCTTTAGGCATTTTTTTCAAGTATGTCTTAAATAAAAATATTAAGTAGATTTAGTCATAATAGTATATTACTTAAGTTTTCAGATCTTCTCCAGTTTATAAATGAAGAAGACAGGATCCTTTCTTGAAAGGTCACACACATACTGGCACTGGGAATAACGTTAACACAGATGTACTCCGAGAGCCTTTTTTCATCATTAGATGTTTCAGAACTCTTCTAACGCACCATTTACCATTACATCTTTTTATCTTTTTTTTTTTTTTTAAACCTTTATCACTATTCTGTACTCGCTGGATATAAAAGGAAAGCAACCAGTCACATGAGAGTAAGGAACTTTTTTTAGATTATGGTTTTAAAAGCAAAAGAGCATGTAGTCTCATGAAAAACTTGAACTGGAGGCGACACAAAGGGGAAAAGCTGTATTCGTGCAGGCAGATCAGACGTCTTCCTTTTGGAAGCACTGACAAGTACCACTAGTATGATTTAAGCTACAGCCACAGGGACACCAATGTCAGTCATTAAAAAAAAATAATAATATCACAAGGACACCTGCAATCCTTCAGTCTGACTCGGACTTCCAGCTCAGGGTAACTCTTGAGCATAAAACTTGTAATTAAAGAGTATGCACAACTGTGGTTGTCAAAGCAAGAGCTGACTGAAGTAACCACGAGAAAGGATCACAAACCTGAGAACAAGCAATGCTACGAATGTTTGACTTCTTGTCACTCCCCCACTCCCAACAGCAGTTAGGTTCCCCCTTTCCAGGGGTCTTCACAATGTCCACACTAATAGATGAGATTTGATATTCTTTATCAGTAAAAAAAGAACATTTTCTGCTCTGTTAACTCTGTGCCTCCCCCAAGCACCTTCCACAGAATAGACACATCACAAAAACTTACCCGTTTTACAACGGCGAAAAAAGGAAAACAAGCTAACTTCCACTAAACCACTACTCTCTTCAGCCATTTGTCTGGTCACTTCATATCTTTTACAGAAAATAACTGGAAGAGGAGACTAGGAGACTGCTAAAGATGATCAGAACATGAAATTTTTCATTTTTTGGCTATCCAGGATGTTTCTCACGCATTCTTTGCCTTGCCAGAGCGTAACTCTTATTCTTAAATAGTTTCAGACATAGTTTTGACTCCTTTTATATAACTAAGCTTGATCTGCAAGTTGAACAGCTCCCTAATAGAGCTGGGAGATGAGCCTGTCGGCTTCACTTGAAAGAGCGGCTATTTAAGCCTGATTTCCTTAGAAAACAGGGCTTATGCAATCTTGCTCTTTGTGCTCATCCATCTGCAGACGATTTCCCCAAACAAATGCGAGGACAAGCGGTTGGAGTTTAAAGGCAGAACAATAAAACAGTCTTGTTTCTGAAGCTCTGGAAAACAGACAGTTATAGGGAAAAAACTAGTGTGAAAGAGCCCATGAGAAAAGCCACGCTGATCTCACGCGTGCTTGGCGAGCAGGGAATTCACGCAGGAAAGTCCTTACAACGGGCTAGATAAAACTGCAGCCCAGCAGCATTCTCACTCATCACAGGCCAAACCTACTTCATAAATTATTATAGCGAAATACACTTAATTGTTTGCTTAAATACAGTCACGAGTCACAGTATCTTGGGCATTCAGTATCTCATGCCTGAAACTGCCCAGCAAAAATAAAATCTAACTGGCAGCAAGTGCATTTTGGACCCTTCAGAGCTGCACTCAGACATGCTCTTTTGGCTGTAAAGGAGCCAAAGGAAGAGCTTGTCACTGCTCCTGATTTTGCCTACTCTCTTACTTTTTCGGAGGTTTACCGCCCTTAGAGTCACCAGCATGTCATCACCTCTTAGCCTCGCTTCTCAAAATGACAAGGTTTGTCATTGCTCAAAATTTCAGATCAGCTTAACCCTAGCTTGGAACTAACCTAGAAGTTGGCCTTGCTTTAACCAGGGGATTTTCCACCAGATGACACTGGGAGAT